ACTATTCCATTAACATACTATATCTACTTGAAATAAATTCATTTTTATGTAGTAGAAGTTCAAATTTTTTTTAATTTAAAATAATTCTCCTTACATAAGATATCATTAAAGCTGTTTATTAAATAATATTCTTGTCTTTTTGAAAGCTATTATGATTCTGATTTTTGATTAGATAGTACTTACTTAGTTTTTTAAACTTGAAACCAATTTTTGATCAGTTAAATCCAAATAATCAAAAAGGATATCTAAATCTGATTACTTATTCATTTCTAATCTTCTTTCCATCTAATATCTAATTTACCTAAAATCTATAATATTAAAGTCTTAGGTTATGATAAAGATCTTACCCTGATTTTTAATCAAAGATTTGAACTACTTGTGCTAGAATCTTAAAAGAAACTGCAAATAAATTTAATCTTATAGTCAATATAAAAAGAAAATAGTCTAATCAAATAGATTAAGAATTATCTCAACTATGTTCAAAGAATATTTCAAATATCTTGAATAAAATTAATATTAGTGGGAATATTAAAGAAAACTTAATAGACAAAAAGAGTAATCAATTTGGGAATTTCAGAAAGTAGCCATAAATGGAACTTTCCGAAATAATATTAAAAGTAGTTATAAAGTGGATTATTATTTTTATCTTTTCGGACTCGAGGGAAGTAAAGGCTTCCTAAGCCATGACCGATTCAGTCTGTTAACATCAAGTCTTAAGAAGATGATCGAGATCCCTATAGAACCAAAGGAAAAAAAGAAAGAGTTCGAAGGGCAAGGAACTTCACCCAGATTGATTGTGCTGGACTCATTAACTCTCAAGTTTGTTTCAGTGTATCTCTCTGCTTATTGAAGCTGAATCATGAAATTTAACTAACTGTAAGCAATTTTTTTACGTATTAGAGATATTTAAATTCATCCCTTATAAAGTCAGAAATACATTGGCATATTTTTTAAGAATCAAAGCTCATTTTTTAATTATAAAGCCATCTAGCTACAAGAAATGGGCATTCAAATATCCTCAGCTAATTAAATTTGAATCGATTAATTAATAATTTCTTTTGCAAAGAACCTATGAGACATTTTATAATATCCAAGGAATCATCTTTAATAGCTAAAATAGTATGATAATCAGAGAAAATATGTATAATTATTAATTTCGAATAATTGTGTAAATTATTTAATCATTCTAATTAATAGCAACATAACATTAGAGTTAAGTTTACGGCTATTGACCATCAATAACTTTGGATTGTATAAAAGATAATGAAAAATTTTTGGACTATTGTTTATCAAAGCTTCAATCATTTTATTTTAAAGTTAAGATTGAGTTGAGATAAATTAATATTCTTTACTACATAAATTTTCAAAATGATTCTTATTTTTATATTTACAATTATAAGCAAAATAAAATAATAATTTCAATTAATAGAGATAAATTTGTAGTACTTGAAACTTAAGGGGACTATTATATAGTAAACAAAAACTATACCAATCATTTGAGAGTAATTTAATTTAAAGACGAGTAACTACTCTAATTAAAAATAAAGTTTTAAGAAGAAATTATAAATGCTTAAAAAATTTCATAAAGTGTAAATCTTTACATAATAATTCAAACTTACCTTCTTTAATATAATAAAATTTTTAACTAAATTTATATAGAGAATATAGATAAACATATTCTTTATTATTTTTTCTTAATTTTATTGTATCTTTCCAAGAGTCTTTATTAATCAGAACCTATTCTATTTTATTAAGAAATGGGATATTAAAAGTTTACTTAGTATCAAAATGTTATAGCTGTTCAAAATCAAGGAAATATTAGATGTTTTAAATTTTAAGTGGGATTAATTAATTCAATCGCAAATAAAGACTATTCATAATAGCAATATGATGCAATCTAATAATTTTACATAAAAAATCTCACAAGATCACTTACCCTTAATTACTATTATGAACTTGAATTAGTCTTTCTGATTATTTATTTTCATATCCATTTAAGTACATAAGAAACCCTTATCATTTAGCTATTTTACTCAAGTAACACATGAAGTTATTTATAGCTATTTTTATATAATACATCCTCATTGCAGTTTAAGAAATTATAGTTTAATATAAAGAAGCATAAGTAGTTTTTAATCAATGGAAAATTGTCCAATTAAAAAATCATAATTAAATAATAAGGTTTTGCTTCACAAATTAATCACTTATTTCTACCCTCTAACATATAATAATTAAATCTAATTTAACCCTGATGGGTTGAGATTAAACATAAAAATCAACATCAAGATAACAAAAACAAAGGATTAGCTGATTTACTGAATTCATTTTTTCTATACAACACAACCTTAGCTTCTGATATAAAATTTAATGGTGCATTAAGAGAAACCTAAAAAAGAGAACTTGATTCATCAAATGTGATATACAAAACATATGATAAATAAAATAAAGTTGATTTGTCCTTTTCAAATTGTATTTTGAGTAAGCTGTATCCTAGAATAAACAAGAATTGAAATTATATAAATTTAAATTAAGTTTTTTGCAAAGCATTTTTATTTAGAAATAATACTATGATAATGATAGCATCTTTCGTTTTTATCATGAATAAACTCTAAGAAAATTAATAAAAATCCAATCTAACTTGGAGTATTATTAATCTGAATTTTATTAATTTTATCTGCGTTCGTTTTTTAGGAATAAATGAAATTAATAATAGCTTATGTTAGGTTAACATTATTTAAGTATTTTTGAAAGAAGTTTAAGTTAATCTAGATAGTTTCCAGTGGTATGTTAAGGATAAATTAGAATACTATTCCATTAACATACTATATCTACTTGAAATAAATTCATTTTTATGTAGTAGAAGTTCAAATTTTTTTTAATTTAAAATAATTCTCCTTACATAAGATATCATTAAAGCTGTTTATTAAATAATATTCTTGTCTTTTTGAAAGCTATTATGATTCTGATTTTTGATTAGATAGTACTTACTTAGTTTTTTAAACTTGAAACCAATTTTTGATCAGTTAAATCCAAATAATCAAAAAGGATATCTAAATCTGATTACTTATTCATTTCTAATCTTCTTTCCATCTAATATCTAATTTACCTAAAATCTATAATATTAAAGTCTTAGGT